CAATGAGTTTAGTTAGTCCCTGCACTAACTTCCTCACTTCCTCAGCTTCATTATCACCATTGCAACATGCTTGTCCCATAGTCATTCTGGATATTACATTATTTATGAGCCTATTAAGTTCTCTGCCTACATCAATTGCATCACTTGCTTTCGCATTCTCAAGCATCAAACTTAAAAACCGCCTTATTTCTTCTTGCTTGACTGGACGGAACTGGTCTAGAGTTGGGCCGCCAAGAAGTTCTGTCATACAAATTTTCTTCATGAACTTCCAGTAAGGCCCATAATTAGCAAAAGCAAAATCCGCACCGCCATATGTGAGGTAGTCAACAGCAATGGTATGTGGACGAGCAGAGAAAGAAGCTTCATGGGTTTTGAGCAATTCTTTAGCCATATCTGGGGAGGAAGCAACAAGACAAGGGACGGAGCCAAGAAAGATACGAACTAAGGGTCCATAGCGAGTTGAGAGCTTGTGAAGACCTTGGTGAGGAATGGAACCTAGTAAATGAAGGTGACCAATGATAGGTAAGGCCAATGGGCTTGGTGGAAGGCACGACGCATTCCTGGTTTTTGTTAAGATTGTTTTTATTGCAACTATAGAAACAAGAAAAATGAGAAATAGAACAATGTAACCTTGCAAATCTGCCATATTCAAGTCTTTGTAGCAGAGTTGTGAATTAGCTGCTGGTTTCAGACTGATGTTGGTGTGAAGGAATCTCCTGCTTCTTGTGTCTAAGGAAAATATTGAATTGTTTGGGAAGTTTAAAAAAAGAACAAACATGCTGACAGCCGCATTTGTTATTAAAATTTAATTCAACAGATTCTTTCAGTGATTGTAAATTGTTTCTGGGCCTCTCTAGCATTGGAAGTTTCTGAAATATAATATTGTTTCTGCAAAAAGCTACTGTCGTTTTTGGAGTGAAACAAAAAGACATTCATTTTTCAGGCAATAAGAGCGCTGCTAAGTACAAAGCCCACTTGGTCATTTGTTTGGTAACTTACGAAAAGGACATGACATTCAGTCAGATTATCTACTTATTAAAATTTAATTCTAGCTGATTCTGTTAGCCATTGCTTTTTGTTTTTGAACCTCTAGTATTGGAAGCTTTCTTACATTATAACATTGTTTCTGCAAAACTTGCCTAATGTAGGACAAAAAAAATTTGAGCACAATGGTTGGAGAAAATTTATTAAGAACGAAAACTAAAGATCTTAGATCTCATTGATGAAGAACTAAGTTAAACTAGTTATTTATACGCAAGTGAGCACAATAATAAATAGGAAATCTTAAGTCAATGTAGAAAATCTTCTAGTTAGATACATAAGCCAATTAATAATAGGAGAATAAATAACACGTAGTAATTAAGCTAATTAAATAACCTGTAGTAAAAACTATTAGACCTCTGTTTGGATAATAGTAAATGATAGGATTTTAGTATATGGTATTTCACGGATGTGAGAAAATCATATTTGTTTCAACTTCCAATGGTAACAAACGGTATCTGATTGACAAATTTGAGATAAATTTTAAAACCACCGAATTAGTGGTATGTGAATGACATGTTATTTTTTTTTCTCTTTATACCTCCATATAATGTACTTAATTCTATTTTTATCCTCACAATTTATTATTTATGTTATTAAATATAAAAATTTAATTTGTAATAATTATTTATTTAGATACAAATGTAATTATATTGGTAAACAATTTAAATTTTTTTTATTATATATTTCTCATATACCACTTACTATTACATAAATAGGTAGAGATAAATTAATAATTTGACTGAAAATACAACCATACAATTCTATCATTCAAACAAAAATATGTCATTAACATATATTAATATATAATTATCCAAATGTAAAAAAAAACTATCATCCTCATCTTATGTCATTATTATTCAATTACTGTTATTACCATATATTAATTAATTATCATCAAAATTTATCCAAACAGGGTGTAAATAACATTCTAAATAAATAGAAAATAATATTTTTTTTTTAAATAAAAAAGAAATAATAAATTTATATTGATAATAAACTTATTGTTAATAATTTCTAAATAAATTAAACACTCTAGTAGTACATAAATAGTACGATTACATACATATCTCTTTTTTATTTTAGGGTCTTCTCTTTCTGCATCATTACTCTCTCTCTCTCCCTTTTTTTCTTATTTTCTTCGGAGAAATAACAGAAAAACAGTGACGTTTATAGGCATTAAGAGGGTGATGCCGAAGTACAAAGCTTAGGGAAGGTAAGTTGCTCTAATTATGGAACATCTAGGGATCGAACCAAACATCTCCGGTTCTACCTAAAAGGTCCTCAAAGGCACTTTTTGGTGTGAATTTTGGAATTATTATTTGTCACATCTAAGAATTGGGATCAAGAACAAAAAATAACTAGGAGTAAGACCTGTATTCTCAAGCTTTATAAGTGAGGTGGGGATTTTTTAGACATCACTCTTAAGATAACTAGGAGTAACACTTATATCTCTTAAGCTTTTACAAGTGAGGTGGAGATTTCTTAAACATCCCTCTTAAGATAACTAGGGGAGTAACACCTATGTCTCGTAAGCTTTACAAGTGAGGTGGAGATTTCTTAAACATCACTCTTAAGATAACTAGGAGTAACACCTTTATGTCTTAAGCTTTACAAATGAGGTGGGGATGTCTTAAACATCACTCTTAAGAAATGATATTATGATACAACCAAGATGTTGAGAAAACTCTCATGAAAACTCTAGTCACTCACAGCTTCATCTCAAACATGAGTTTACATGGGTATTTATAATCTAGCTATAATTAAAAAATCTGTCAGGGCATTTAGGGTAAAGAAGAAAAACAACGAAAGGGATAAATTAGTCTTTTGCATGCTTCAATTAGAGTTAGGGTTAATATTTCTGTAGGCATCGCTGCATCATGATCCGCTGATTCTGGCTGTTGATTGGAGTGCTTTTATTGCTTAATAGCCTATAAAAGGCTACCTTTCCATGTTTGTAATAATGAAGGAAAGAAGAAGAATAATTCTATCAGAATTCCCTCTCTGTTTCTCTTTCTCTCATTCTCTCTTCTCTCTTTCTTTCTGACAAAATCCTAGAAAAAAAAAAGAGTTTAAACTATACATAAGATCCTAATACTACTACAATTATAATAATAAACTCATAAGTGATATAATAATTCTAGATTTACAAAAAAATCTAGTTCCTGATCTATACTTATTCCGCATCAAATAGTCTCCTAGTTTTCAGAGTCAGAACATATTGTGTGATATATATACCAACAATGGATTTACTAGTTCTGGCTGTATTTTAATGGATTATATTCAGTAGGAGAGGCACTACTTTGTAAGTAACTCCATGGACTTCTTCTGCTTGCTGAATGTTTAACATATACTTCTATTTTGGGAATAATTGCCTTTTTGGGTTCCTGACAGATGAATGGGATATCTGAGGACTGGACCAATGGCCTGCTGTGTCGAGTTGCAGGAGTCATGAACACAACTTTTGAGGATCTGCTGTGTGTGTGTGTTAAATCAATAGCTGGATTTATTCCACATGTTTGTTCTTTGTCCTTTGTCCTTATATGACCAATTCGTCATTTGTATGTACTTACTTTGATTCCTTCTTATCAGAATAACATTAGTCCAAATAGCATTTGATACTTGCTGCATATGGCCTGCCAAGTGTACGGATTGGCATCCTCATGGAATACACTTATACTTTTTATTTCAAACAAATATATATATATATATATATATATGCACACATATAAGATTATAGTTTGAACTTTGAAACCCATGCTTATTAGTTCTTTAGGTTGGAACTTATTGAATTACCCTAAAAAAAAAAAAAAATCTGTTCCCACTGAACAAGGTTAATTTTGATTTTAGTTGTAAACAATAATTTCTTTTACAAACTAATTTTACCTTTCATTTATAATAGATGCTTTTTTATTATCTTTTTAAATAAAAGTATAAATTTTATTACTATGAACACGAAAAGTGTGTTAATTCTATTTTTTTACGAACTTTATAATTAAGTATTTAACTTATTATTAAAGTGTTGATGGGTCGGAATAAATTTTTTTTTTTTATACGAAAGAAATATTTCGAGTGAAGCTTTACCAACTAAATTATATCCCTTCGAATTAAGTGAAACATATATGAACGAGTCAAATATTTCTTTTATTCTTTTTTTTATGCAGTTGGGTCATCGTGAATTTAAATTAGAGATTTCGCTCGTAAAGTAAATTATCGCACTTACGTTCCAACTAATTAGGAGAGAATTAATAAATTTCTTTTCGTGAGTGATTCATTATTTTCGAACGCAGCATACGATTCTCTGTTGTATGACGCTCTCCTAGTGTGCTTGTTCTCCTCTCTTTCTTATTACGACAAGTATTTGTGAAATAACTCCGAAGAGAAGAAAAAATGGATGATTAATTTTGGATTTAAAATAGTAACTGAAACTTAATAATTTTCTTCCGAAAAGAAACTTCAAAACCCAATTTCATTCTCTGATGAATTAGGAAAATGGCAATGGATCAAACCTTGGGACTGGTACACATATTAGGGGATTAGCCCTTGGAAGGGTTATTCCTGGTCCTTCTTCCATGTCAACACTCCCATTCCCTCCATTGACTCTCCATTCAAAGCACTGAATCATAGCACCGAGGGTTGTGTGTACAAGCTGTAGTGCTAGTGATATTCCAGGGCACTGTCTTCTTCCACTCCCAAATGGCAGCATATGAAAATGCTGTCCTCTCACATCCACTGCCTTCCCCTTTTCTCTTTCTCCTTCACTTATCACAAATCTCTCTGGACGGAACTCAAGTGGCGTCTCCCAGTGGTTTGGATCCCTACCAATTGCCCACACATTGACGAACAGTTGAGTTCTTGCGGGAATCTCGTAGCCATTGATGATGCATTCCTCTGTTGATTCTCGCACAATCATTGGGCCTGTTGGGTGGAGCCTTAGGGTTTCCTTCACTAAAGCTTGCAGGTAAGGAAGGTTGGCAATGTCTGATTCATTTACTAGTCTGTTTCTTCCTACTACATTATCAATCTCTGCTTGTGCTTTCTCCATTATATTTGGGTGATTGATTAACTCTGCTAATGCCCATTCTACAGTAATTGCTGCTGTATCTGTTCCAGCGGCAAATACATCCTGTCGCATTTTATTATGGTTAATTAATTTCAAGCATGAAAATAATATTTAAAAGCTTATCACATCTGAAACTTTTTTTAAATAAATAAACAATTTAGCATGAATGTAGCATGTAAAGCACTAGAAGGGTGTGTTTGCGTGTGTGCATGAGATGTTTGGTACTCTGAATGTTTCTCAGAAGGGAGTTTTACCAGGATAAAAGCCTTTATGTTTTCTCTGGTCAATTTAATCTCTGAGCTTTCGTCTTCTGATATTTGAAGCAAGATGTCAAGCAAATCTTTCACTTTATGACTCCCTGCATTCATTGGCTTTTTCGTTTTCCGTGCCTCTTCGTGTTCCCTCATGATTCTTTCCATCATTGTATCAAACCTGTAATGAACTTCTTTAAGCTTTTTCTTGAACCCCTGCAAATCTAAATTTTTGCAAAACCAAATATAATCTGACAAGTTAAATTTCCCAGTGAGCTCAGCTACTGCCTGCACTAACTTCTTTACCTCCTCAGTTTCATTATCATCATTGGTACACGTTTGTCCCATAGTCATTCGGGATATCACATTATTTGTGAGTCTTATCAGCTCTTTACCAACATCAAGTGCCTCAACTGCTTTTGCCTTCTTAAGCATCAAACTTAAAAACCACCTTATCTCTTCTTGCTTGACTGGAATGAATTGATCTAGAGTTCGGCCACCAAGAAGTTCTGACATGCAAATTTTCTTCATGAACTTCCAGTAAGGCCCATAATTAGCAAAAGAAAAATCAGCTGAGCCATATGTAAGGTAGTCAACAGCAATGGTACGCGGACGATCAGAGAAAGATGCTTCATGGGTTTTTAGGAATTCTTTAGCCATTTCTGCTGAGGAAGCCACAACACAAGGGACAGAGCCGAGAAAGATATGAATTAAAGGTCCATAGCGAGTCGAGAGCTTGTGTAGACCTTGGTGAGGAATGGGACCTATTAAGTGAAGGTGACCAATAATAGGTAGGGCCAATGGGCTTGGGGGACGGCAAGATGCTTTCCTGGTTTTTGTTAAGATTGCTCGCATTGCAATCATGGAAACTAGCCAAATGAGAAACAGAACAAAGTAACCTTGGAAATCTGGCATATTCAAGTTTTTGTAAAATAATTGTCAATAAGCTGCTGGTTTCAGTTAATGTAAAGAAAACCCTTGCTTTATATATAAAATAAATGCCGCATTGGTTTGGGAAGTTACAAAAAGGACGTAATATGCATATAAACTACTTGTTAATAAAATTTAATTTAACAAATCCATTTAATGATTACTAATTAATTCTAGCATTGAAATCTTTGCTACATTATATTACCGTTTCTGTGAAAACTACCTGTGACAATCACTAAAATGGTCTCCTAGTTTTCAGGACCGGAACATATTATATCACATATATACACCCGGTATTGTTATCTGTGCCTGTATTTTAATGTATTGTATTCCCGTGATGAAGCACTATTTTGTAAATAAGTCTGTGGACTTGTATTAGTTGCTAAATATTTAATGTTTGTTGATCAATTGCCTTTATCGATTCCTAACAGATGAATGCGACAAAAGACTGGGTCAATGGCCGGCCATGTTGAATTACAGAACTTCATGAATAGAACCTTTAAGGATCTGCTCAATGTACGTGAAATCAATAGTTGCATTTATTCTAGATATTTGTTCTTTGTCCTAACTTGTCTGTACACTCATACAACCAAGTCTACATTTTTGTACACTTATTTTGATGCCATTGTTGTAAAAGTAACTGCTAGTTCTCATATCATTTGATACTTGCCGCGTATGGCCGGCCACGTCAATGCATTAGCTTGGTCATAATCAAAAGGTCCATAGATGGTTTGTACAAAACTAAAAAAGATGTTGGTTTCAGGCAAAACAACAAAGGAAATTCCTACAATTATTTTCTCGATTTTTCCTAGTAGATAGTTTATTTTTTGCAGCTAGGACTTCTTCCTAGTTTGTATTATTATTTTTTTCTTTTCTTTATCAGGTTTATGTTCATAAAATATTTTGAGGCATTATTTCGGTGGTGATAATGATTTAACTCCAGAATAGAGATGAGACAACAATGATCTCTGTAATTGACTAATATTCTGATTATGCTTCCTCATTCTATTTCTCTTTTAATCTCCTGCTCTATATTCTCGTAAGTAAATATTACCAGTAATGATTCCACCAAAATTTAAATATATATTGTGATTGGATACTGACCTCAACAATAGAATATCTTTACCATGTTTTTACATCTGAAGTTATCTTTATTTATTTATTTATTTATTTTATGGAACATGCGAAATTGTTGTTTATTTTTGTTTATTTAATTCAGACTATTTCCTCTTTTCATATTTTGTCTAATTCAGCCATGGCGTTTTAATATTTCATTTGGCTAAGTTTACAATCTTGTCAAAAACAAATCCAAAAACCATAGCCACAGTTGAAAATGCATTAATATTGTCGATACTAACCAATTGCTATCCCTTAGTTACTCTTGTTTCTGGTGCTGTAAGCACCATGCTCCCTTGATGAAACTAGCCAGAAGTTCTATCCTGCCTTCACCCATAGCCAACTTTTGGTTAAAAATTTGAATTCCTCTACCCAATGTTTCATCTGGCATTAACGTAGATTCTCATCCACTGAGGTAAATGTTTGATTTATATGTGCTATCTAATATGACCTATGTTAATAGTAAATATTCATGCTAGATAATTATCCCTGCCTATTACTACCAAATGACAAGTCTGTTGTTGCAGCGTCTCTCAGATGCAAACAAAAGTATGTCTTCCCTATAATAGCTAAACTCACTGATTACCACTGGATATGAATACGAAATTATAATTTTCTTGTGTAAATAATGAAAGAGTTTATTACATCTACCACTCAAGAAAATATACAGCTGACTTTTATTTGGGTTGAATTTACTTATTGGAGTAAGATCGAGAGTGGGACATATTAATTCTTGGAAATATTTTTATTCACAATGGGTTTGGCCGACTCAAAACGGAGGGGATTGGATAGAGCCTTGCAACTGGGGCACAGACCAATGGACGGATCCTCTTAAGAGATAATCCAGGTGCTTCTTCCATGTCAACAGTCTCATTCTCACCACCCCCATTAACCTTCCGCTCAAAGCAATGAATCATTGTAGCAAGGGTAGTCATAATAACTTGTAATGCCAGTAACGAGCCCGGACAGCTTCTTCTTCCAGTCCCAAATGGCAAGAGACCAAAATGCTGTCCTCTCACATCCATAAACTGCTTCTTTTCATTCCATCCTTCATTTATAAATCTCTCTGGCCTAAACTCCAGTGGGTTTTCCCAGTGGTTTGGGTCTCTCCCAAGTGACCACACATTAAGAATGAGCTTAGTTTTTGCTGGAATCTAGTAGCATTTGATGATGCATTCCTCACTTGATACTTTGTTAATTAAGGGGCCAGGGGGGTGCAGCCTCAATGATTCTTTTACTATTGCCTGAATGTAAGGAAGGTTAGGAATATCTGTTTCCTCTACAACTCTGCTTTTGCCAACAACAGAATCAATGTCTTTTCTTGCCTTCTCCATCACTTTGGGGTTGTTAATTAGCTCGGAAAATGCCCGTTCGATTGTGATGGAAGTTGAGTCTGTCCCAGCCCCAAATATGTTCTGTGAAATTCAAAAGTATTAATTAAGCATGATGAGTTAGATGTTAGAGCTTCCTAATGTAAAATTACAGGTATATTTGCAATAAAAATTGGATACATTCGAGGGATCCAACTAGTTTACTTCTTTCTCCTGTAATAACTTGTGATAGAGGGCAGAGTCGGTCACTGCATTTACCAAAATGCAAGCAAAACTATTTTATTCCCATGATAATTTGGAAACATGGATTACTACTGTACACAGATTCAAATCTGTGGTTTCGTTATGTAAAGAATATGATGTTTTACCGCTTCGTTTTAAGTAGGAGAATCACTTATAGTGCACATGTATTAGGATTCTGATCTGTTTAGTTCATTTTCCATTTTACTCCTAACTAGTTCCTAGTTCTAATTTTTTAATTTTAGTTTTAGCACGTGTTATTACATGATGATTACTTATGTTTGAGTTATTCCTACCTTCAGTTTGAATTTTTATGTGAAGATTTCAAATTCTGAATAATTCAAAGATAAAAATCATCTTGTACTTGTTGAAATTAATATGTTAGAAACAAAATAGAAAATAAACCAAATGGCATCTAAGTCCGTAATTCATGTGTGTGCATGAAAGATTTTCTTTTACCATAATAAGGGCCTTAATATTTTCTCTTGTCAGTTTAATTTCTGAGCTCTCTTCTTCATAAATGTCAAGCAAGCTTTCATGTATATCTTTTGTTGGGCGATTTCCGTCGCCAGACTCCTTGCTTTTTCTCTTTACCTCTTCATGCTCCTTTATAATTTCTTCCATCATGTTGTCGTACCTATCACGAGCATTCTTGAGTCCCTGCAGATCCAGATTCTTAACAAACCAGATTAAATCTAATAAACTACATTTCCCAACAAGATCAGTCAGCTCTCCAACCAATTTCCTTATCTTATCAGCCTTGTCATCGGTGCAAGAACACCTCTGTGTCGAAGCCATCCTTGAAATTATATTATTTGTCAGCCTGGCAATCACTGCTCCAACATCAAATGCCTCACCTGCTTTAGCTTTGTTTAATATCAGCCGCAGAAACTGGTTCATCTCCACCCGTCTAATTGGCCGAAATTGATCTACTATTCGACCATTAAGAAGCTCAGTCATACAAAGTTTTTCATGAACTTGCAGTAAGGTCCATAAGGTGCCATTGTTAAATCAGATGAATCATAAGTAAGGTAGTCAATGTTGGCAGTTCTCTGTCCGTTCAAGAAACAAGTTTCATGGGTTTTGAGGAGTTCTTAACCCATTTCTGGGGAGGAGACAACAACACAAGGTTCTGAGCCAAAGAAGACAGACATCAAGGATCCGTAGGTTAAGGATAGTTCATGAAGAGCTCAATGAGCTATTGGGTGGAGAAGATGGAGGTTTCCGATGATGGGTAGGGTTCGCGGACCAGGTGGAAGATGAGCCCTTGCCTGCAGTTTGGTCCAAATGGTTTGAAACAAGGCAATGGAGGTTAGCCAAACCAAGAAGAGTATGATGCAGTTTTGCACATCAACCATTGTGTATGATAATGTTGTGCCTTATTATGTTCTGACGGTTTCCTAAATCAGGGCTTATATAATGGTTCTATAATCAATCATGCAGACTATATATTCATCGTAAAATGATTTTTAAAAAAAAAGACTGCATAGACTGAATTGCTTTAGAAGATCAGGAGCTAAATTGCAGTAGAGCAGATGAATCTGTAAAATAAAGGTTAGTCTTCCCAATTTTCTAATTTCTGTTCAATTTTTAGGTTGATTGAGCTTAAATGAGTTGTGGGTTTTATCTGTTGCTACTTCAGTTAGTTATTATTTTTTAATATGTAGACTTACAGATAGTCAAAGCAATGTGATAATCAAATCCAAATATTGAATTGCTAGCTGTTTTATCATGTACTGGTAAAAATTTAGACCACTTGGTAGTTGAATTGGAAATTGATTAATATCTATTTAACATCAATTCTTTTATAAACACAGACACACATACATCATACGGTGTAAAATAATATCAATTTGGTCAGTGCACTGGGCTTACGACTAACAATAATTGCAGGAAATATTGAATTCATCATTTCTCATATATTTCTGTCTCTGTCTTTTCTTCTCTACTCTGAATTATATATAGATATCCATATATGTGTGTATTATATATACATACACTTTGCTTTCTGGCCCTAAATCATTTTTATTTATTCAGTTGTTTAGATGTCCATTTATGTAAGATACATGCGTCAAAAGAGTCATTTGTCTTTTCTTGCATGTTAGCTTCTTGAATGGCTTGATTCCTTTTCAATTGGGTTTATTTTTGTTGAGCCATTATAGCTCATTCCAAATTGCAAAACCATTTTCTTCCATGAAAGGTTTAGTTATGATTAATATTGACAGTATCAAGCCCCAAACTCTTTGGCCAAGTAATTCGTTCAAAAAGAATGTTGAGATATTATCCAATTGCCCAAGGGTTAATCTAAAAGTCAAAACTAGTGTTTGATTTTTGTCCTAACTTATTGATAAGTTCAAGATAATAATACAAAATTGTCTAGTTTCATATTGAGTGATGTGAAATGATGAGACTTACCGATCCCTCAGCATTCATTTTAGGGAGGCCAAACTTTTCAATGTATTCATATTGAGTGATCTGGTCAATGCATGTGAAAACAATAGTTGCACTTATTCCAGATATTTGTTCTTTTGTCCAAACTTATCCAGATTAGTATTGCAAACAAATGTATATCTTTTGTGTAATAGCTAAAAGTAAGATTAGTGTTGCATATGAGTGCGAGCCGATAGTTTTCTCGTTAAGTAATGGAAGATTTTAATTCATCTACCACCTGAGAATACAGTTGATTTTTATTTGTTTATTTGGGATCTTTTTATTCACATTGGGTTTGCCTGACTACACACTAAGGGGATTGGACTGAGCCTTGCAACGGGAACACAGATTAAGGGGTGAACCCTCTTAAGTGATAATCCAGGTGCCTCTTCCATGTCAACAGTCTCATTCTCACCATCCCCATTAACCTTCCATTCAAAGCACTGAACCATTGCACCAAGGGTCGTCATCATAACCTGTAATGCTAGAAATGAGCCGGGACAGCTTCTTCTTCCAGCCCCAAAAGGCAATAGACTAAAACACTGTCCTCTCACGTCCATGAACTGTTTCTTTTCATTCCATTCTTCATTTATAAATCTCTCTGGCCTAAACTCCAGTGGGTTTTCCCAGTGGTTTGGGTCTCTATTAATTGACCATATATTAACAATGAGCTTGGTTTTTGCTGGAATTTTGTAGCATTTGATGGTGCATTCCTCGCTTGATTCTCTGCTAAACAGGGGACCAGTGGGGTGCAGCCTTAATGATTCTTTTACTATTGCTTGAATGTAGGGAAGGTTAGGAATGTCTGTTTCCTCTACAATTCTTGTTTTCCCAACTACAGAATCAATCTCTTTTCTTGCCTTTTCCATCACTTCTGGATTGTTGATCAGTTCTGAAAATGCCCATTCTATTGCAAAGGCAATTGAGTCTGTTCCTGCCCCAAGCAAGTTCTGTGAAATTCAAAAGCAAGTATTATGCATGATTAGTTAGATATATTTACTTCAAAATGCAAAACTAAAGATATATCTAAAATTGTAAACAATCAATACAGTGGGGATTCAACTAGTTCACTTTCTTTCTCCCACAATAACTTTTGTTAGAGGAAAGTGTCGGTCACCCCGATAACTTTTTAACACGGATTCAAACCCGTGACTTCTTATGAGAAGAATATGATGTTTTACTTAGGCTAATACATTAACTTGAATCTCTATTCATGTCTGTCTACTTCGTTTTCCATTGCATTCCTCACTACTTCCTAGTTCTAACTTTTTAATTGTACTATTAATACTTGTTATTACATGATGATTTCTTATATTTGAGCTATTCCTACCCTCACTTAATATTTTTATGGGAAGATTTTAAATTGGAATAGCTCAAACATAATCGTAGTTATTAGAATTAAGATACTAGAAATAAATGAGAAGCTAAACCAAGTGGCATCTAGATCTATAATTCATGTGTGTGCATGAAAGATGTTCTTTTACCATTATTAAGGCCTTAACATTTTCTCTTGTCAGTTTAATCTCTGAGCTCGAATCTTCATAAATATCAAGCAAGCTTTCAAGTACATCTTTTCTTGGGTTATTTCCGTTACTGGACTCCTTCCTTTTTCTCTTCACCTCTTCACACTCTTTTATAATACCTTCCATCACATTGTTGTACTGATCACGAGCATTCTTGAGTCTTTTACGCAATCCCTGCAAATCCAGATTCTTAAGAAACCAAATCAAATCTAATAAACTACCTTTTCCAACAAGGTCATTCATCTCTCCAACTAATTGCCTCATCTCATCAGTCTTGTAATTGCCAAACCAAGACCTATGTGTCAAAGCCATCCTTGAAATCACATTACTTGTCAGCCTCACAATCCCTGTTCTTACATCAAATGTCTCACCTGCTTTGGCTTTACTCAATATTTGCTGCAGAAACCGGTTCACTTCCTCCTGTCTAATTGGTCGAAACTGCTCTACTGTTTGACCGTTGAGAAGCTCAGACATGCAAATCTTTTTCATGAACTTCCAGTAAGGTCCATAAGGTGCCCTTGTTAAATCAGACGAACCATATGTAAGGTAGTCGATGTTGGCAATGTTTGGTCGGTTCAAGAAAAGAGTTTCATGGGTTTTAAGAACTTCTTGAGCCATTTCCGGAGAGGATACAACAACACAAGGTTTTGAGCCAAAGAAGAGACACATCAAGGGTCCATAGTTTAGGGATAGTTTGTGAAGAGCTTGATGAGCTATTGGGCGGAGGAGATGTTGGTTTCCGATGATGGGTAGGGGTCGCGGACCAGGTGGAAGTTGAGCCCTCGCCTTCAGCTTGGTCCAGATGGTTCGAAACAAGGCAATGGAGGCTAGCCAAGCCAAGAAGAGTATAGTGCAGTTTTGCACATCAACCATTGTCATTGGCTACTATTATGCTGACTGTTTCCTAGATCAAGGCTTATTTATAAGATTTCTTATAATCATACTTACTCTGAATTATATACATATATTTATATATACCCATTGCTTTCTGGTCCTAAATTGTTTTGATGTTCATTTATAAAAAAGATACACATTGCTTTCTGGACCTACATTCTTGAGTTAGTTTATATGTTGATTTATAAAGATTCGTTTATCCAGGTAATCATTTGTCCCTTCTTGCATGTTAGCTTCTTGAATGGCTTGATACTCTTTCAATGGGGTTTAGCTTTGAGCCATTATTTCTTATTTCAAATTGCAGAATCATTTAAATATTATGTTGTTAAATCGTACGCTTCTACTGGTTGCATAGTTGAGAAATGGCGTCACGCTGCTAACTAATAACGTGGTGGTGAACATGCCGGAGTACACCATGATCGCATCTCTGCTCCGCGGTTGGAGTACACCATGATCGCATCTCTGGTCGGCGGTTGAAGCAGTTTTTTGTTAGAAAAATCTGTATTTTTTAAAGAAAATTTTTAAATTTGAAAAGTAAACCATCAAATTTATTAAATTTAAATTATTAATTTTAAGAAACTATAAAAATTTTCAAATCACATTGACAGTGTTGTTTAAATTTCAATTAACATTATTGGATAATTGGGGTTAATGTGGGCATATATACACATGCAAGATTATGTGTATATATATATGCATATATGTGTGAGTATATATATATATATATATATATATACCCACGCTGATCAAGGAAGCCATAGCCCGGTGACATACCCCTGAAACCGGCCCGACCCCGCCCATTTTACTAATCCCTGCCTTTAGTTAGAACTCCTGTAGTTAGCAGTTCTTCCTACAAAGAGAGCTCCTCATGATTTGTCTAATCAACTAGTAGATCAGACTTTCACGCATTGGGATTACGCATGTTGAATCTGCTATTGGAGCATGAAGCATTACCGGTTTCCATTCAGCTCCACTATAATCTTTCTTTTTTTTTTTTTTTTGGAGAAAATCCGCTGTAATCTTTCTTCATTTTGCTGTACCAGTGTGAAGTTTAGCCAGATTCATCCGGGTGACTGAAGTTCATTTCGACTGAACCTAGACGCTTGTTGCGAGAGAGAGAATAATTCAGAAAGATTTGCTTGTAATTTCTTACACCACGTAAGTACTTCTTGACTATTTGCTACCTCTATTTCGTGCATCTCTGCCCACCATTATTATCTGCTTTTTTTCTCCTTTGATTTCTTGGTTATTCGTGTTATCATTGGTAATTATTATTACAATTATATATTTAAATTTCTCGAAAAAGTATTATCCATGATGAATGAATTAGCAGAATGGATAAATGATATCTAATGAAGTATTTTTGTAGAATTTTGTCTTTATGAGGTTATCTTGGTGAAATTGAGGATATATTAATTTAATTCTGCTTGAATTTGATTCAGATTGAAAATTTTCCTGTACCGATTGTTGATATGCAGTAGTGTCAAAAACAAAAGAGCAAATTGCAGTGAAGAATCCGTAGATGGGTTGGAATATTGGCTTAAAAGTCGACGCTTAGCTGGTAGCTTGTAGAATTTTATCCATGCGTCAACAGAATCATTTGTCTTTTCTTGCATGTTAGCTTCTTGAATGGCTTGATTCTTTTTCAATTGGGTTTATTTTTGTTGAGCCATTATAGCTTATTCCAAGTTGCAATATCATTTTATTCCATGAACGGGTTAGTCATGATTAATATTGATAGTATCAACCCCCAAGCTTTCTGGCCAAGTAGTTCGTTCAAAAAGAATATTGAGGTATTATCCAATTTCTAAGGGTTATATATAATTAATCTAAAAGTCAAAACCAGTGTCTGGTTATTGTCCTGACTTATCGATAAGTACATGATAACAATACAAAATTTTCTAGTTTCAACCAAGTGATGCAAAATAATGAGACTTACTGATCCCTCAGTATTCATTTTTGGGAGGCCAAACTGTTCAATGTATTCATATTGAGTGATCTGGTCAATGGATGTGAAATCAATAGTTGCATTTATTCCAAACATTTGTTCTTTGTCCAAACTTGTCCAGATTAGTATTGCAAACAAATGTATCTCTTTCCTGTAATATATAAGAGTGCAGATTATTATTCCAGGTGAATAAGAGTGCAG